TGACTTACCATCAGGTGATCCATATGCTCGTTTGCCCCCTTTCCTATTAAAAAAATGAGGAGCATCTTAACTCTTAATCCTGCATTTCTTTCCCTAACGCCCTTTACGCACTATCATGTCTTGATTTATTTCCTTGTAGCAGACCCAATATTAAATAACGTAATGCAAACAAAACAACTTTGTTAACATAAATTATTTAAATAATCTATATACGAGTATTCCAATAATTGTCTTTTATTCATATTGTCTCCTCTCCCTATAAGAATATGTAATACGAGGGTGATACTGAAAGTTCTTAGAAAATCAAAAACTGAAAGAACTAGCAAGTTATTAATTTTATTATATCTTTACAAAATAGTGTCCATTTACATCAATACATCGATGCATCCGATGGAACCACTGAGAAAAGCACTTTGCCCTCTCGGCCTTAGAGATCTTTTCGATGGCATTTTATAACGCAGCCACTGCTTCCTCGGCGTCCATATAACGTTTACCGCGAAGTTTTACTTTTATTGTCGGAAATAAATAAAAATCTTACTAATCTTATCTAACTTTTTCCAAGACAAGTGGCTAACATTTGTTAGTGTACTGTACTCTGCAGTAGCAATTTTCGATCCTCTAAAACAATGCGTAATCATAATTGCGTAATGACCTGTCCTTCCGAAGAACGAGGCCACCATCTTCTTTCCCACGCTTCGACCCCTCTTCACTTTAGTTGTCAATTTCTCGGAAGGAAACACCCAGACAGCAGATTGTCTCTTAGTTTCAGAATCATAAAATAAATCCAGCTTTCGTCACCCGTAAGCATGTCGGACATAGCATTTGAGTCACCTCCGTCAAATCTTTGAACCATTTCACGACACTACTCAACACGACGGAGTTTTTGGGCCTCTGTCAAATTATGAGGTATCCACGAGAACAAAGCTTTCTGACCACTAAATATTCATGGAGCAATTTGTGCACTTAATTTATACCGATGCCTAAGCTTCCCCGAATCTGCTGATAAGTCACTCTATTGTCAGTCTCTATCATACGCCGTACAACACTGATGTTATCTTCAGTCGTTGCCGTAGAAGGCCGTCCCCAACGGAGATCATCGATGAAATTAGTACGACCACGCTCAAACCAAATTAACCAGTTATAAACAGTGGCACAAGATGGGGCTTCATCTTGAAAGGTCAATCGAAGTCTATCTATAAGTCTAGTGACATCAAAAGTCATAAAAAATCGTTGTACGAAAATTTTCTCGCGTTAAATTCATGCTGACTTGACAAAGACAAATTAATAAAATACACAATAATATTGGCAAAGAGTTCCATTTTCCAAATATGTTCTTATTTTTTATTACATCGTTTACGAGTGTCCAGTTCCAAAAACTTTCAATGTCGTCCGCGTAACTATACCGAAAATGTCATAACTATTTCGCTTAATTATTAATATAATGACCAATAATCAATACAAAAGATATGACTAATTGGGATGCTACTGAATCAGTATTGAGTTAACGCCCGATCGCCCTGGTACCTATTTTAATTTACGAATGTCTTTGGCAGGATGTTTTGCCGCAATCGCCACGCTAAGCGTAGTAGCTTATGATTTTTTATAGCATAAATCTGACAAACGAGCACACAGTTCCCCTGATGGTAAGTGCATGCTGTGGCCCATAAACATCTACATTTATCCTCGATTAAGAATCAAAACGCAGATGCGTTGTCACCCCTGAGGACTAAGATGGAATGCCTCGTTTCCGGTAAATAAGGGCCTCTGGATCTCTACACTCACCATACGAAACACAGCAGTATTAAGATGCTATTTTACGCTTCTATTCTGTGTAAGCCTGATCTTTCCCCGGTCGGGCTAACCCATTCGTGCTAAAACCATAATATAGGTGCAGCGTGATTTTACCACGTGTAAACCTAACCCTATAACCAAACATATATTCGTCTCACTCTCATGAGACAAAAATAAGATGCGACTTTAACCTAGCTTTCACTTTTAAGATATCTTACGTCAGACTCGGGAAACCACTTTTCATAAGGTACAATAATAATAACTAATTTTATTTAATGTTGCCCAAAATCGGTCTTGGTCTTGCAGTCTTGGTCTTGTTCTTGCATTTTTGCAAGACCAAGATCAAGAACAAGTCCGCCTAATTTTAGCAAGACCAAGACCAAGACTGACCGTGCAAGATTTGAGCAAGAACAAGACTAAGCCTGCGAGACTCTTGCGTCTTGCAGTTAGGAATGAGTGTCGTTTCAAGGAGTATAGGAGTTCGGGTATACGCTTAGGGACTCTATGAGACGCAAAAAATATATAAAAAAAATTGGAAAATTGGACTTATGCGCATTACGAACAATACCATAAACATACATAGCGGATGAAAATATCCATTAAAAGAAAAAATCAGTGCATCCCTAGTTTTGACCATCGGCACTTTGATTGTGCGCGGCATCTTGTTGTCGGCATCATCAAAGGTCGAATACTGACCTGTCAAAAAAAATTTGCAGCTATTCGGAAGTACAAGGTCAAAATATACGCGCCGGCGGCTTCTATTGATATCGCATTCAATAGTCGCCGCCGCGCCGCACGCACTACATTTGACACTGTTTGAATACCGCCACAAAGTACATGTTCCAAAGAATAAAATAAGTTTCCAGGTGCTCAGAATGGACACGAATACATTATGCTGATCTCGCAAGGAATATTGTAATTAGATAATGGTAAGGATATGTAGATACCATAATAATGTATTCTAGTAAGTAATTATTATAATATTAACTATATGTGTTTATAATAATTACTTACTATTATTATTATTGCCTAATAGATAAACATGTTCAATAAGTTCACTGCAAATCTCGATTTTTGGAAGTGTGTGTTTTTGAACACAAAGTATTCGAATATGTCGTCACCCCTTTGATAAATATTGTAGACACTTTTAACACATTTGAAACCTGTAAACATTTTGTACAATGCTAATCGAATAATATAAAAAGTGTGCATATTAAATAAAAAGCGTAAAATAAAATCTATGTACTTTTTAGGAGCCCGAGTATCTCTTAGAGAACCGTTTAAAGAAATTGATTGCATCGAATAGATGTAAATAATAGTGAAAGAATTTGCACAATTTTAATAGTAGAAATAAAAATAAAATCACAATACCTGCTTTCCGGTTACACAAAGTATATAATGCGTTCTTGGGTAGCGATATACGCTTTTATAATAAGATTCCAAAAGAAATGTTAGATCTTTCACCTTTTCAATTTAAGTCAGACAAAAATGCTTGGAACTAACTTCTCGTACTACACAGGACTAACTAGAAATTTCTAAACCGATTTTGTATCTACATATACATTTGAAATTTTATGTTTGACTTATCGCTTTACATAATTATAGAACTATTGTAAAAATATTTTGAAAAGAGCAACTACTGAGTTTCTTACTTTCTTCCATGATTTTTCTCTGTATAATCAGAACCCCTGGTCATGGAAAAGAAAAAATTGGGGAAAACAGTGATTATATGACTATTCAAAAGTGTATTTTTAATGCCTACTTGAATAAAACATATTCGAATTTTGAATTTAAAATGAGTGAAGGCAAATTTGATTTAATTAACGTAGATTAATTCAATCACAAGAAGAACATAATATACACAATTTTATTTACATATTTACATTTCATTTTTACCTAGGCACACTAAACCTATCTGGCAACGCATCTACTTTATTAATCTTCTGAAGAATCATTAATTTTATCAAAGGATACCCATCTTTCCTTTGTTGGTCTTTCGGCGTGTACTTACAAATAGTAGTATTTATTTTAATTCCAGTAATTCCCAATTGAGCTTTGCTTCGCGTCTAATGTATTAATTGTTTTTACTCTAATCCTTGTTGTGCTCGGAGTGATAAGTTTACAATTTGACATGAGTCACGACAAGTCGAATAGTTCTAGTCGGAGTAGTGAGAGTTGGAGTTATAGATCTAAAAGACCTAAAAGTAAATATGATGAGTTTTTCGACATAATTCATGCATCCCAAATTGCTTTGTGTAAATTATGCCAACATAAAAAGGTTGAAATAAAAATGAAAAACAGAAACACTTTAAGCTTAAGGAAGCAGCTAATGTCTTTCCACAAAAAGGAATCACAAATATTTCTTCCTGAAAAACCAAAATTAAGTGGAGATATCACAAGCTTTTTAATAATCACCGGAAAAAGTGGACAGGTAAGAAAAAATATACTTATCACACAATTACATGACACATATATTATGTAACTAGCGGCCGCCTGCGACTTCGTCCGCGTACAATATCTGATTTCCTATGAGATTTTGAACTTTTCTCGCTGCAAAAGTCTTACCTAAGTATAAAGAGGCTATATGGGTAAAGCTTAACTATGCAAGTATTTATTATTTAAAACTAGTAAAGTAAATGTCGATCTTCATATCTATACTTTAAAAATATAGGACTTGCATGTAACCATTTTACCCCGATTTCACCCCCTTAGGGTTAGGATTTCGTAAAACAGCTTATTCAGGATTTTATTATTGAAAACTTATAACTTTAATGCCAATTTTCCCGATTTTAGTAGAAGAAATAAAGTAGATGTATACTTATTCGCTAGAACACATAATGCTTTTGCCAAAAGACAATTTTTTTTACCTTGCGCGATTACTACACAATAAATTTAATTAAATTTATATTACTAAAAGCTACGACAACCATCAAATCAAAAGTAAAATTATTAATTGGCTTAAAACTTATGACTATGTCGCTACTGAATGTCTATTAAAAGTCTAATTTTAATTTTTTTGTGTTTTTATTCAACAAAGGCTTGTTAAATTTACGACGAAGAAACTACCTCATGTTAATCAGGTTAACCTTTTACAGGAGTTAGGGTCACATTGATACGTATAAATTAAATTTCGTTGCAATAAAGATTTTTCAATTTCAATTTTCAATTTATCATGAATAATTTTAAAATTTCAATACGAATTTGTATGCCTATAACAGTAAAATATTATCGTCATCATCGTCTTTGGTATATTTTCTAAATCTGCCTGACTGCATAAGAAGTTAAATCTCATTTAATTATTTTTTAAAGTCATGTGCTTATGTAAATCTTTAAAATAAATAATTCGTGGACTTTTAATAAAATTGTATTGACATCACATTAGCCAAGGTGATTTTCTTTTGTAGTATTTAAAAATGTCCCTTGGTACTAAAAGCTTACATCCGTTTACAATTAATATAATCTATTTATATACCCAAAAATTTCTTTTCATCCGATAGATTGCGAAAGCGACACCACGTAAACTGCTTTGGTTAAAATAAATCGATCGGTGCCGTGTTGCAGCACAGTTTATTGAGTACAAGTCACTGGTAGTACCGCCCTCGGTAATCCGCCTGCCGAGCGAGGCGATTACAGTAAACCTTTCCAACCCGGAAAAGCGTTGTATCCAGAACTGTATGTCTCACATACCGGAAACATTATTCTATATGAACCACTATTCTCTATAAAATATTGTTGCACTTAACCAACTTATAAATAAACGCACTATTAATATTTCAGATTTTCTTGACAAATGTGATCGTCTTCTCAATAACTTTATTCGATTCATTTTCAATTTTCGTAAGTACAACCACGCATCTACTTTTCGTTCCCAACTTATGTGGCTATACATCCATCAGCGACGAAATATTCGCGTACTTACAGCCCTATACTGCATTCTGCATATCCCTCCTTTTGCCTGCCTGCCTATACCTGCGTTTTTCTTATAACCATTCACTTAAGTGTCCCTCGCACAGATCTGACTTTCTGCACTATCCTTCACTGTATTAGATGAAGTCAAAAAGTTTCTGTACTCACATTAGATTATTCGGAGATACGAAACTTTCATGTCATTTAAGTACTGGAATTTTTTGAAATTACCCACAAAAAATATTGAATTATTTCATTGTGTTACAGTGATTTAGTCTTATAAAGTCTGACTGTCGATTAATATTACGAAATGGATAAAATGGAGTACAGCGCCGTGATGAAAGTTTTGACAAAAGAGGGGAAGACACCGACGGAAGTCAAACAACGTTTGGATGCTGTGTACGAGCATTCTTCACCTTCGTATTCCACTGTAAAAGAATAGGCGAAACAATTTCGATATGAAAGAGAATCAACTGCTGATGAAGCGCGCTAAGGACAAACATCCGAGGCCATTACGGATGAAAACATTAATTTTATGGGAAATACGGTACTGGATGATAGACAGCTAATGTCTAAAAAATTAGCAGTTATGATGGTATACCTATCTGGGGGCACGGCAGTGCCCCCGCCAAGTCGAGCAAAAAAGTGGCACGGCCGTACCATCTTTTCTCGAAGCAATTCGGGCCATTTTCGACACCTTATAACTTCATGGTCAATAAAACTAGAAGCCTGAATTTTCAGTAACCGAGTAATCATTGTATAAACATGGTATATTTAAAATTTCATTCAATTTGAACCAGTATTTTAAGAATTGTAACCAGTCAAAATTTCTTAATTTTGTCACTCACTGACTGACCGATCATCAAAACTCTAAGGCACTTCTAGCAGACACAGAAGCTTCAAATTTAGAATATAAATAGTGTTTAGTGTATAAATCAAGGAAAAACTAAGTCGAGTTTTTAAGATAGACTAACTGCATAAATAACTTTGTAATCCCGTATAAATATATAGAATTACAAAGTTACATTTGCAGTGAATGAATCTGTGTACTTGTATATGTATTACAGGTGTACATAGGTACGTTGTAGGTACTCAAGAAGTAGACGGTACCGGAAAGGTAAAAAATTAGGACTATTTTATATACAAAAAGAAATGAGATACCATTAAAAACATAACTTGTAAAAAAAACCAAGTCTCGCAACTCAGTTCTTCTACCGTAAAAGTTGTGAGATCCATGCAATACCAAGTCGGTTAATTTATTCAGTTCCTACATATGGGTCCCTCTTTTTTTAAGTTATTACGTAATTAGCTAACCTAACAACATTTTATAGTGACCATATCAATTTTAATAGTCTTTTATGTTTTAAATATATAGATTGACTTGGCAATCGCATTAAGCAATCTAATTTAATATAATACGTATTACTTGTGAGATACATTGTGGTTTCATGCGATGGCTAAGTCAATCTATTTACTAAGATAGTGTCGATACACCCGGAGAAGCACTTATTATATATGATCAAACGAACTTCTCCAAGAGAAGTACGATCAGTTTTATATGAATCGCTTCATTCGAAGATATAATATTAACAACGTAGTTTCCTTATTCTACAAGGCTAAGTCGCACCTTTAAAGATTTTTACTCTACCCACATCAAAACAATTGCCCCTTCCCACTAACGTCTCTCGCCGTCCGAGCGTACTGACTCATTCTTTTAGAGATATTATTCTTAGCAAAACTTTTAGTGGGTTATGGGCGGGAGGGAAATTATATCTTCGAATGAAGCGATTCATATAATACTGATCGAACTTCACTTGGAGAAGTTCGTTTGATCGTATACTATATTTCATCGCTTCATTCTTCAGATATAATATTAACAACGTAGATGTTTAGAGCTTAAAGTTTTGCTTATTGGGTTACTTATGTGTATGTTGAACTTTAAAAGAAAAATCATAAAAAAACAAATATTATTTATTAGTTCGGTCGTAACAAAATAACGTACTAACGTACGTTATTCACTTGTCTATTTTATTTAACAAATCAAATTTAATTATTTAGGAGGACAGTTCTCGAAACTTATTTTCGTCAATAATTTGGCGATGATAAAATTTTGCAAAGGTCTCTAATGCTGACGACCAACCGGCTGTTTTCTGATCGTATCTAGAGAGATTCCAGCGGATCTAGCACACGAGGTGGCAGCATGTCGCGTGCTGTGTGCACTAAACACGGTCACGTCCACGCAGCCCTCCGCTAGCGCTCTCCGTTAATCCACCTACTGATAGATTGAGCAGTGGCCGCCTGTAGGTTAGCAATAAGTTCCAACAATCTGCGGGTCTCATTTTATTTGTAATCTCTAAATAATCTTATTGCCGTGGCTGGACAAATATTTTTATTTTTAATAAAATAAGGTAAAATTAGAAGGGGTTGCTGACGTCCCGCTGCAGACGCTTTAATTATATCAGTGATGCTGATTCTAACATCTGAAGAACATATCTTAATATTGTCTATATTTATTAAAGATAATGTTTGAGGCTCTGTGTGCTGTGCATAATGCCATTAATACTGCTATTTTTTGTGAGTTTTTCAATTGAAAGTGTTTCATTGGAACACAACCTTCTATATGATTTAAGATAATTTTTGGATCCCAAGTACCAGTATATTTTGGAAGGGCTGGTCTTAATTTGAATGCGCCCTTTAAGAATCTTTTTATTTAGTCTTTAGAACCTACACAGTCTCCTAGAATTAATGATAAGGCCGACCTGTGGTTATTGAGCGAACCGTAAGCGGCCCCATTATTAAATTGCTCCGATAAAAATAGTAACATTGACGGTATAGAATTTGCGTAAGGATCTAAATTATTTTTATGACAAAATTGCCACCACAGCTTATACGAGACTCTAAAATGAAGTATTGTATTCTTTGAAAGCGATGCCATCATCATTGGAAGAGCGGGCGATGGTGTACCTCTTCTTATAAATGCGACTCTGAGAGCCTCGCTGCACCCAGGGTAAGGTTTGTGCAGGTGATGAGGAGTAGTAAGACCGTAAGAGATCTCTGTGAAGTTTGAAAAACATTATATCTGATCTGAGTAAGTTATTTAACATTGGGTACCAAGGCTGGGATGGCCAATAAGGACAGAAAAAATGCCTTCGGCTTTATCGGTTATAATTTTTCCAGACATTTCATTATTAAAGAAAAGGTGGAAACGCATAGATATATTTGTATCTCTAATCAATAGTGAAAGCATCTACTAATAAGGCATCTGGATCCGGTCTCCAAGACACATAGGTGGTGCATTTAGCATTGGCACGAGAAGCGAAAAGATCTGTTTCTGGTTCCCCCAATTTTTGTATGATCTCTTTATAAGCGTTATCACTTAGCTTCCATTCTGTATCTAGGTTTAGTTTCCTTGATTCTTGGTCTGATTCTACATTTTCTTTACTATTTATGTAAGATGCGCTAGCCAAATGTTTCGCTTCTCGCACCATTGCCATATTGATCGAGATAACTAGTTCTAATGGGGGAATTTGGATTACTCCCATTCAATTAATATAACTTATAGCTGTTGTATTATCTACGCGCAACAAAATATTACAATCCGACATATCCCTAACAAAACACTTAATACCTAGAAATATGGCTAGTAAATCGAGGTAATTGATATGATAATTGAGTTCATTGTATTTCCATCCTCCGCCAACACGAATATTATTACAACAAGCACCCCAACCTGTCAAGCACATGTAAATATCTCATAATTATATTTAGTTATACTAAACGAATTTTTGGTTAAAATACTTTTTTTTTCTTTTTTTTTACCATTGTAAATCTGGTAGGATATCTTTTGAAAGTTGCATATTTTTATTATACGTCTTACATTTTTGAAGCGCAAGGTATTTTCGTCTTTCTAGCCGTTTAGTGTACAACCAGCCATATTCTACTGCAGGACAAGCGGCCGTGAGAACACCTATCAAATGAGCGAAATCTCTGATCGAACAACTAGAACCTTTGTACTATGTGAGCTATATGATTTTGTATATCTATGAGTAGACTTATAGAAAGTTCCTTGGAATCAAAAATAAATCCCAAATATGTGCAAGATATATGCGGGCCTAGACAGGACTTATTATAATTAATAACAAAACCTAAGCATTGCAAAAGATGCATAGTCGCGTTAACGTTGTCTAAACATTCATTGTAGTCTTTACATAAACAAAGAATGTCGTCAAGATGTATGAGAGACTTATATCCCCCGTTTCTTAAGTTGGTTATTACCTCTTTCATTATCTTACTAAACGTTCTAGGAGTAACTGACAGGTCATACGGCATGGCATTAAATTCATAAAGGGTTTTAACTAAATTTTCATCTTCAAATTTAAATCTTAAAAATTTGCGCCAAAGCCTCCCGTAGGTCAATGGTAGCCATGTAACCATTACGGGGTATTAACTTTGAGGCTGTTCTGTAATCCTCCATTTTTAAGTGATATTTTGCAACGAACATATTAAGGGACTTTAAATTCAGAATAAATCTTTTGTCTTCGTTAGGTTTTGGCGCTAAGAAAACTGAGGATATGAACTAGTTCTTTAACGGATGACACTGATATTGCTCCTAAGTGTAATAAATTATTAATAACTACAGAAATGTATTGTTTGTCTTTTGATGACAAGTTGAATGAGGTAATCTTCATTGAGTAATTTGTCTATTAAATGGTATTGTAAATCCATCCCGAATCCATCTTAAAATATTTTATTTTTGTTAATTTAAGCCAACAGTCATAAAAATATTGTAATCTTCCCGAATGTACCTGTTTTAGCGCTAAATTGGAGCACGGTAAGATTTGTTGTTGCTCCAAGACCTCGTTTGTGGATACACCTGAGAGGGTTGATCCCTACGTGTCCCCGATGACAACTTCCTTGGACCTCCCCCCCCTTGTTCTGCTAGCGAGAAGGGCTGCTACAGTTTGCCTGGTAACAATTGTCTCTTGAAGACGAACTTGTTTTTATCTGTGATGTGGAAGGTTTTGAGTCTGAAATCCGAAGACCTTGTTTTTCGATGGCTTTTGACGCGTTAATCTTTTCGGAAAGCTCAATGCCAAAAAGAGTTTCATCTTTTTCACACTCATAAACGACTTTTAGAAAACACTTGTCTAATCCGGGTGTCACCAATTTAATTCCGGTTTTGGGTCTCAGAGTGATGGAGGTCGGATAATATACGACACGCATCAGATAATTTTTTTTATCGCTTGGACTTTATTGTCTCCGATGAGAAGTAAAGACATAGATCTATTAACGGCAGTAATACCTAAGCCCAGTTATTGCTGATCGACCTCTATTTTCTTGTCCCTATTTCGGGCTGCATCGGTAAGTGCCGCTGCAATCTCGGGATTCAGCGTAGGTGCTCTCAAAAGCTTGCAATTTTCGGGAATTAAGTACTCTTTTTACAAGTTTTGTCTTTTCTCCTTAGTAAGACCCTTACGTAGAAGAGGAAGTCAATGGTGAGTAAGATCCTGGTGAATATTTTCACCGTATATTTGCTCATCACTATCCGTATCACCCAAAGCTGACAATAGCTCAGGATCTAATGAAGGAATTGTTTCTTCCGTTTTATCTTCAATTGTCAGCAGAGGATGCTCCTCGAAGAGAACGGATGTTACCGCATACCATGGTGTCATCATTTATGACCTTATTAGTTATCCACAACAAGAAATAAATTTCATATTTCGGAGGTAGATAACAAAAAATTGTTATGATAAGAATCTAAATTAACACAACTAAAAACTTAAATCTTTAATATATTTGTACATGAGTATTTAAGTTTATATAACCTTTGTGCTAACTCTCGGCTAGCCCCCAGGTAAGGATACCTTCGTACTGACTCTCGGCCAGTCCCCAGGTAAGTTTGTATTCGTGTTGATTCACGATCAACGCTAAGGTTTTTAGTCTTAACTTATATTTTTAATGATCACTCAGGTACTAGAATCGAATTACGTAACGGTAACACTTACCAAAATTTTCTTCGGCCTCAGAAGAATCGGAGTAAACAATGACTCGTTTATGTCGCTTTCGTTCTTGTTCTTCTAGTTTTTTAAAATTTTCTTTTGATAATAAGCAATTTTGTCTGCAGCACTGCGTGTCGACATTTTACTGTTCTAAGATAATTAAATAAGGTGTGCACTCTGCCTCGCACGAAAAAGGAATGAGGCAGTACGCTCGGACGGCGAGAGACGTTAGTGGGAAGGGGCAATTGTTTTGATGTGGGTAGAGTAAAAATCTTTAAAGGTGCGACTTAGCCTTGTAGAATAAGGAAACTATGTTGTTAATATTATATCTGAAGAATGAAGCGATGAAATATTATTATTTCGCTTTTAATTTATTATTTTTAATGTGCTTGATAAATACATATTTTTCTATTCTAAGAATAAAATTTAATACTATTTTATTTTATGGTTATTGTAATAAAAAACGAATATAAGTAGGTAGTAAAAAACCTTTCACTAACTTCACGTTTTAAAATGCGAAATTCTTCTGCGGGTGTACGCCATCCACGCTGACCCTTAATGTCGCGGCGGCGCCTTTGACAAGATACAGTATTTGCCAAGGTCGCGCGACATAAAGGTGACCCTATCTAAGCCAACGGACTTTCAAAAACAACAGAGCTTGGAATCCTACATGAAGCTTGAGTATGGATAATGTCAGTGCTAGGTGCGTCCCAAAATTTCTATTCGCTGTTCAAAAACAAGAGCAAGTGAAATTCCGTGAGAAATAAGTTTTGGATACAATTGTTAAGGGTGATAAAACCATGGATCTTTAACATGACTCTCTGTCAAAAAAGGAATTGATGGCATCGTCCGAGATCATTCATTTTCATTAAATAAATAAATAAAATCTTTATTCTCAGAAAAACATGTAACAAAATTTTCCATATTAAGTACGATTACAGGCATCAATATACTAGTAACATACTACTAGGATATGGTTGATTGTTAGCGGCTGTACTAGTTTTATATTGAAAACTGTAGTACAAACGCTAGCGCCTTCCAACGGACATTGGATAAGCCACTTCTAAAGCCGTATTGATTTTCTGATATGTTGTTCAAGTAATTAATAAGCCTTGTGTTAAGAAGAGTCTGATGTTGTTCAAGTAATTAATAAGCCTTGTGTTAAGAATTTTTCCATTATATTAGAGAGAAGTGAGTACTGATATGGGCCTATAATTATTGACACTGCTTCTGTCCCCATCTTAAAGATTGGATGTACCAAAGCTTTCTTAAAGACACCTGACTCAAAAGAACGGTTGCAGACGTATGTTATAGGAGGTATAAGAGTATTTCGGGCAGGCTTAATAACTGCAGAAGAGATTCCATCATAGCCAGTGGCAATATTTGTTTTAAGATTTATAATTATATTCTCAACTTCTGATTCATCTGTCTCTAATAAAATCATAGAGTTGCCAAGAGGATTATAAGGTGATTTTATAGAGGTTATAGGTGTCTCTTTATGACATTCCAAGTCGCTTTGGGGTTATTTTTAGCTTTTTGAAATTCGTTGCGTACGTGGAGATATTTTAATTTTTTTAATAATTTATTGCAATAGTTACAATAACGTAGATATATGACTTTAGCTTCTTCATTGTTTGGGTCCTTTTTCATTTTTCTATGCAAGCTTTCACGGTTTTGTATGCACCTTAGAAGTCCGGGTGTAATCCAGGGCTTTAATTTACGTTTTCTGCATGAGACTTTGACAGACTTGGTGTTTTGCTTAAATGCACGTATAAATCTTGGCGATTAAAAGATCAGCAACAAGATTAGCATCTTTAGTATCAAAGATGATTGAAAAATCCGTATTGGCCAATTCGTTTGTAACATTTTGAGTATTAACATATACCCGATTTTTTTGGTATGGTGTTTGTAGACGTTGTCCTATAAATGTAAGGATGGGATTATGATCTGTGAATTTGAAATTCAACACGATGGTGGTTATCTTAAGGTTGGTTTTCATCATAACGTGATCAAGGCAAGCATCTTCATGGGTGATGAACGAATGTGCGTATAATAGCCCGTGTGATGCCAGAAGATTCAAGTAAAGGTCGGGTTTGAGCTCACGTTTATCAGAGAGAATATTGATGTTAATATCTCCAATGATAGTTATAGTTTTATATGACGCTAAAGATACTAGCAAAATTATCTAGTGAGTTCAGAAAATTATAAATAATTTTAACAGAAGAAGATCTATAGATACCTAAGATAGCTAAACCATTTACAGAACAGATTTTCAGGCAGCTAACGTCTATTACGTAACGTTTACGACGGATACTTTTCATTTCATTTCTTCTTTATTAAACGTAATGACACCATCGTTCTGATTGTGCCAATTGGAACAGTGAGAATTAAAGCCTTGTAGTACAGGGACATTAACAAATTTACTAAGCCAGCATTCCGTTAATATTATAATATCCACTTTTATATTTATAATGTTTAGGAAGATACAAAGTTCATCAAAATTCTGGTTAATGCTCCTGATGTTAAGGATTTTTATTTGTTTACGGTTTGGATCAGTGTACGATGCGCATTCTTGCGGAGAGCACATAAACGATTCATGGCAGTTTTATTTGTCTATTTCAGCATTTATTTGATTTATTTCCATGACTTAAGATGTTTATGAGTGGTGCATTTTAGTGTTACAGTGAGAGTTCTGTATTCCTGATTGGAAGTCGTGATATTGAGTTAAGTAGGTATCAACATGATTATTAGTTTGAGGGCAGAAGTGATGGTGTATGAGTGTGTAATATATATTTTATGTCGTGATAATATGTGGGGTGTGTGTAAGAGTGATTGTTTTGATTGTTTTGTGTAAGCGTATTGAGTACCGTGCACATATGGTTAATGTAAAAAGTAAGTAAGATTATGCTACTATATAGTCAGTTGTTCACATTTACCAGCTAAATCCAGTTCAGAGTTCACGCGTATAAGTTTCTCTCCCTCTCTTTTGCGTAGAAATATTCTTCTATGAGTTACCCAGTAGAATGAATAATCGTTGGAGTTTGCAAAATCACGAGCCACGAAAAATAATGTTCTTGATTTTGGAGTTAAGTTCTCGGAGACGAATATAGGCTGAGCCACTCCTTTGATATGTATATGTTCTGTACTAAATCTATTTCCTTTAAGAACTTTATTAAAACTTTTTAGGCTTTTCAAAATCCTTTCTTTAATATGTACACTATTTAAGTTACATATAATAGGTTTCTGTGTCGGTATTTTTGTGTTGATTCTGTAGACACCACATACATCCGTAACAGACGCTTTCATTTTCAGGGCAGTCGATATGCTCAGTACAATATTTAGAAGGTCTTCTTTGCTTTCTGATTTCGTCACCGGCACATTACGAATCTCAATACTTGAGCATCTACCTTGTCGCTCCATGACCTCAATCCTGTTCTCCAGGGTATGTATGTAAGCAGTGCTTTCTTTCTGTTCGCTTTCTATTTTTTGCACTTTCTTTTTTAATTCGGTGTTCTCCTGCAGAAGGTACTCCATGGACACGTGTATAGCATCATTTTGCTTCCTTATTTCATCTGTATTTTGCTGTAAGGCTTTAAGCTTCTCTTTCTGCTGTACCTGTATCCCGGAAATAGAATCCTGGAGGGCATCAAATTTTCGATTTTGCTCATTTTTGAATCCCCTCAGGAGGTTCATCATGCCATCCATGGGTCAGTCATGCACTCCTCCTCTCGAAGACGCTTTTATCTGATAGTCACGCCATCAAGCACACCACTAAGGTCGGTTTCAGACAGGGTGCAAGAGGGGGCAGCAGTGGAGAGAGGCGGGGTTCGTTTTAGTGGCATCTTTATTGGGTATTTTTGTATGGTAGGTATTTTTGTATTAGGGTTTAATAAGCAGGCAAGAGGTCACAGATCCACTTTCGGTGCACAGAGCACAACAGATTCTCTTTTGTACAGTTTTTTATCGAAGCACTCGCCGCAAAACACACAACTATTAGAGCCGTATAACACTGTAGGAGATGAATGTTGATTTCTAAAATGTTTATTAAGGTTTTAGAGAGACACTTAGCACTTGAGATAACCAAGGAATTCACAATATTCAGGAGAGTAAGTAGTCCAACAAACACTTAGTGCACTATTTTAGTCAGCTTAAGAGACCAAAGTACCAGGCACGCATAAACTCGGCAGAGTCATGTACACAATTAGTTCTTTTTGGTATTTTAAGTCTGCGGTATTCGTTCAATGTCTTACAGAGGTACCAGGGCAACAGAGCTGCAGAGGAGATCGTTCCGTAGCAGAGTACGTAGTGTTGAATCGTAGCATAGTTCGTAGTGTGCTACGAAGAACAGCCTTTTCTACGGAATAGTGGGAGGGGCTTGAGGCACTGCTACGGCTATTGATTCAGGAAAATAACCTCTTGTTTGTTTATACACTCCTATTTTCGCGGCACTGATTTATTGGTTTAATTTTAATTTAATATCGAAAAATAAGATAATAATAACAGATCCAATACACGAGCACTCCATGAACGGTCCGAGAGGGGAAGGGAATTTCACAACATTCAACAACAACATTCATTTATTATAGCTCTCCACAAGTCCACTGTAAACATAGGCCTCCCCGAAAAAATGCCATTTGTGTTCGTTCATGGTCATGGCCTTAAGCCTCCTGTATCCATTGATTTCCTGCATGTCTTACTAAGTCGTAACTTCATCTAGTAGGGCTGACCCATATTTCGCGTACCAGTACGAAGCTGCCACTCGAGAATCTTGCTTCTCCATCGTTAGTCGGTTCTTCGAGCTATATGACCGACCCATTGCCATTTCAGCTTATTAACCCGTTGGGTTATGTCGGTTAATCTAGTTCTACTGCGGATATACTCGATTCTACTTTTGTGATGCAGAGAAACTCGAGCATAGCCCTCTCCATAGCTCGCTGAGGAACTTTGAGATTTCTCATACGGCCAGTAGTCAATGACCGTCATTACTAGCAACACGCACTTATTGTCCAGTATCGTTTTCAAATTTTGAGGTATACCTAAGGAGAAGATGTGTCGTAAGCTCCTGAATGCTTCCCAGCCAAGTTGAAACCGTCGATTGACCTCTCGGACAAACATGGATATACCTAGTCTGACTATTTTCGCTGTCCCAGATAGACGTACTTATCAACAACTTCGAGCTTATTGCTCCCAACCAATATCCCGATGGCTATCCAAGTACAGAACCAGAGACAGAAGCCTATCCAACATACAGATAGGTGTAAGACAGGGTGACGTTATATTCCCGAAACTCTTCAGCGCTGCATTAGAAGACGTTTTCGAGCTACTGGACTAGAAAGGATATGTATTAACATCAATGGGGGGACGACATCAATCAAATTATAACCACGCGTTTTAATTTTCCGATGATATAGTCCTTATGGCAGAATCGCTGGAGAACCTAAGCACTATGCTCCATGACCTCAATAGTGTCTCCCAACAGATTGGTGTTGATGAACATTGTTGTGTTTCCGCCGTTTTTTATTGGGATTTGTTTGCCAACCTTAGATTCGGTTGCCTTATTTCAAATTCCCCTACTTTCAACTCATCTTCTTTTCTTATGCCTAAGTTTGCGTTGAAGTCTCTATCAACACCGTATAGTGTGTTTTGGAGGAATTCAATTAAAGCAGAGATATCTAATGGGGATATCGCAAAAGCCATGCATTCCTTACATATCCTCCACCTTTTCATTGGGATGTGCTGATTTGGGTGCGTAAACCTGAGTGACCTTTAACGAATATCATTTGGTAACTCATTAACAAGGTACGCCATCGCTGTCGATGTATCTTCACTTTGTTAAAGTGAGACTTGTGTACAATAAATGCAACACCTCTTTGGAATATATGGATGAAGAAAACAAACTCGTCGGAACTTACATAATTCTAAATGTCCTAGCGCAACTTGTCTATCTCTTCTTCCAGCTCTAATATTTTCTCGTCAGTTTTTAAGCGAAACCCTGTGTTTAACAGATGGAATGACTAAACACAGCTTTTAAAGAGAAATTACCTAATCAGCAACATAGAGTTCCTTTGCTTCACGACAACGCTTGCCCTAATATCACCATTATGACCAAAAAAGCCATTAAAATACCTAGCTACAAAGTGCTGTCAAACCTGCGTTACTCTTCCAATTTGAAACCCGAATTTCCAGCTATTTATATTGATTTTAAACACTACGCGCAAAATTTTGTTCAATACTGATGCGGAATTTGTGCGGTTAGTTGGTCAAAACCGAGTTATTTCTATTAACTAGGTAATCATAACCTTTTTGAACGTTAGGAAGAAGTTGTTATCAACATAAGCGCATATTATTTGAGACGCCAGAATATGGCGTTTGGACAGCCGAGGGGATAAGCGATTAATTTCATTAAAAAGTTGTTAAATTTGTTTGAAAAAAAAATTAAAAAACGGCAGAAACACTTTTGCCAGCGCAATATAAAATTCTCTTTACGATTTTCATTATAAGAATTTTAATCATATCAGTATACAGAAAATACGATAGAAACATCAAAATTAAAAAAACATCCTAATTTCAATATAGAAGATGGATGCGTGCTCCCATTTGCTTGGGATTCTATAATTAACAAAATTAAACCTAAACTCAAGCAAACCACTGCAATATTTCAAGATACTGTAAGCTCGTATGGCGTAGATCGAACTAAAAATCAATATTCAAAAACTAAAGACAGCGGGGCTAACAATGACATTGGGACGTCAAACATCACATCCCCCCCCCCCATTATCATGGTTGCTGCAAAGCACCCGAAACGTCGGGAATTAAAAATAAGTTAAAATAGTTAATTAAACTCGATAAAATCCGTAAATATAGTTATATTCAATTAATTCAATCACTTTAATATAGAACCTCATTTTACTAATTGAATGTAACTTAAGCGTATTTTTTATAAAATTCGATATATAATAACGGATGAAATATTTATGTTTATTATAGATTTCTAAATTACTGAAAGTTAATTTTACGTAAAATAAAATATACAGCAATTACCTCTTCAGTACTATTATACTGTAACGTGTAACCCAACAGGACAAAGCCGTATTTCGTGTCAAGTAGAATATATTACCTCATTACGTTAACGATTAACTGTTTGGCTAGTGCTTTTAATTTGTTTAATGTACAGCAGTATATTGCTTTTGCTTTTACCTTTTTCGGGATGCCTCTTATTTATTCGCTTAAAATATAAAGACGTTAGTATAAATCTATAATAGCTTGTCTATATTTATTGCCGATTAATCCGTATTAATTAATGTAAAAAGCAAAAGTAAAGGTCATCAAATATTTGCAACAAAATGAGTTTCTAGTTTTTTGGGTTTGCTTACTCGTACGTACGTTTACGTATTTTTGTTTTTATTCCAAGATTTGGATCCCTCTTTGGGGGATGAGCGATGAACTCATTCATTTCCTTGCACTTTCCTCCGTACTTCATTCATTCCTTCTCCGCTATTTGTATTACGTCAGCCCATCGAACTGTCAGCTTGGCAACATTAATTTTCTCCAATGGTACTTTTCACCATGTGGTTTCTTTAGTCTATTTATTTTAGTAAAACTATTTTTATGGAGTTTACTTTACGGACGTTTAATTTACTTATTTTCTATTTGCAATGCTTCGACTGCTTTGCAGCATCGAACTTTCTAAATACCAACTGTTAGAATATTTGAGCTACGTCTATGCAATTTATTTGTTCAAAACTTCACACCACACCATTGATCCATAAGATGCAGCTTAACATTTACTCTAGCCATTCTAATCTCGCTGAGACTGACATCCGGGATATCATTGGAATAGTGTCGGATAAGACTTGCTCGTGGATTGTTACTCACACTTGCATGTGGCTAGAACGATGATGTGTACAGCTGCCCGTAAAACCTCTCAATTTCGCTCAAATTCTCAAGGGTGTCCTACATAATATTAATGACTTATGAAAGTAAGATCTATGATACAAAAGCATTATTATAGAAGGTCTCCTTGATGCATAAGCATTATATGGGGTGGTCGTGTCGGTCACACACTGCTCTTAGTACTGTAGCAAAATGACTAGTCCTTATTAGGGACTTGAAAAAGGATTATTATTGTGGCGTGTATGCTGCTTCACGAGCATTTGGTCCGAGGTAAACTTGGGCGCGCTAACCGATATATCCTAGACATATCATCTTAGTGCCGGTGGTAAGCGGGTTTGTTGTAGCAATACGGCTTTCCCGTGGACATCGCATACCATTCGTGGGCGACGTCGTAGCGCATAGCGATGCGTTGTCTATCTTTCGGATTAGGATGATGAGTGTGTTTGGTAGCACTATTTAAGTGTAACCAGCACACTGAATTTCATGTCTTAGTGCATTAGCGCTATGATACGTGGAGTTTCGTTCATTGGCGTCTTAGTAGCGTGCTACTATGATACGTTGGTGATATTTTTAGTTAACAACAATACAAACTTTGTTACCAAAGTCGATCGGGATCATGTAGGTGTGTTGTGAGGGGGCGCCATCCGTATGATAGTTGCATTGATGCTTACTGCTTCTTGCGGTATTGCGTCTTGAGATGGATCTGCGGGTGTGCTGCGCCTGATTCGACGCATTCTTGTGGTTCTGGTCGATAGAGATATGCGGGTGGTGATGTCTGCTGGGATGTATGGGGGTCCTTGGGATGGGTTAAG